TCCCACCCTTCACATTTCCATGAATGTGGCCCTGCACTTTCACTCTTTCCTTTTTGAAAGACTCCCACTGTTCTGTTGTGAATTTTCCTGCAAGTAGCTGCTCCCAGCCCACTTTGGCTAGATCCTGTCTTATTTTAAAATTGGACTTCCCCCCCCAATACAGAATCAATACTTCCAGGCCATTTGTGTCCTTTTCCATGGCTATCTTAAAATATACAAGTGTTATTGTCACTATCACCAAATTGCTCCCACAGTGACACTTCTAATGCATGTCTGGGTTCGTTCCCCACAATTCAGCCTAGCACTGCCCCCACTCTTGTTAGACTTTCTATATCTTAAACCAGAAAACAATCCTGGATAAATTTTAAGAATTCTGACCTTCAAAGGCTTTCATACTTTGCCTATTCCAGTTAATATTGGGGAAATTGGGTAGTTTAAGGAGAATCCAAATGCATTTCATTGGTATATTAGGGGCAAGAGGATAACCAGGGAAAGTGCACAACCCATTGAGGATCAAAGTAGCAAACTGTGTAGAAGCAGGACTGTAATATATTTGGACAAATTACAATTGAAGAAGGAGGAGGTGTTAGCAATTTTAGCAGGCTTGAAAGTGAATAAATGCTCAGGCTCAAATGAGATGTATCCCACGCTGTTGTGGGAGGCAAAGGAGGAAATTGCAAAGGCCCTGGCATTAATTTACAAATCATCTCTTGACACAGACGCAGCAGATGACTGGAAGATAGTTAACCTCCCAGAATATTTGATTGTGTTGTTCATTGTAAAGAGACACACGGGTAGTGTAGAAAAGAAGAAACATTTGCCCTTCGTAATAAAGTTATTAACCTTGGTGTTAAGGTAAGGGGCAGAAGGTCCAGAAGAGTTTTAAATCTGATTTTTTTCCCCCAGAAGCCAGTGGGAGTTTGGAACTCACTGCCTGAAAAGATGATAGAGGTGGGAAACCATCACAGCATTGAAGAAGTATTTGGATGGTCACTTGAAGTGCCAGAGCATTTGCTGCTGTTCTAGCCCCCTTCCCCCAGTCAGGCCCTGTCTCTTCTGCAAAGGAGCCGGGTATCAGTGAAAAGGATGATGCAATTCAATAATTCATCCCCAGAATGAGAAATTAAATGGAAGGGGAGAGAAAATAAAGTGTTTTGCTCACAGATTATAGACAAGAGAGGAAGGTTCAGTCTGGGTGAAGCTCAATCTTCATTCAGAGATGATGTGGAGATGCCAATCGAACCAGGAACATTTCTCATTACAATGAACTTTTCAGCACTCTACACCAGCATCCCCCACGATGACGGCATTGCTGTAACAGACTCAGTACTCAATACCTCCAACTGCCAATTTCCAGACACCATCCCACAACTCATCCGCTTCATCCTTGACCACAACGTCTTCACCTTTGACAACCAGTTCTTCATCCAGGCACACTGAATAGCCATGGGGATCAGATTTGCTCCCCGATATGTCAACATTTTCATGCATAGGTCTCTTTGCTGCACAGAATCTCCGACCAACACTGTACACCACATACATTGATAACATTTTCTTCCTTTGGACTCATGGCGAGGAATCACTGAGACAACTAAATAGCAATATCAACAAGTTTCAGCCCACAGTCAGACTTACCATGGACTGCGCTTTAGAATCAGTCTCATTCTTGAACACAGGGACAGACACCTCAGTACATCGCTCTACTGCAAGCCTATGGATAACCTCACGAAGCTACACTTCTCTAGCTTCCACCCAAAACATATTAAAACAGCCATCCCCTATGGACAAGCCCTACACATACACAGAATCTGTTCGGATGAGAAGGAACAAGACGGACCTGAAGGTGTTGAAGGACGCCCTCATAGGAACAGGATACGATAGTCAACTCATCAATCACCAGTTCCAACGTGCCACTGCGAAAAACTGTAATGACCTCCTCAGAAGACAAACACAGGATACGATAGGGTGCCCTTCATTGTCTAGTACTTCCTGGGAGTGGAGAAACTACGCCATGTTCTTCACAGCTTTCAACACATGATCGATGATGATGAGCACCTTGCCAAGATCTTCCCCATGCCTTCACTTCTGGTCTTCAAACAACTGCCAAACCTTAAACAGACCACTGTTCACAGCAAACTACCCAGCCTTCAGGACAACATCAACAACGATACTATACAACCCCTGTCATGGTAACCTCTGCAAAACATGTCAGATCAGGCAAGGATGCCCCGAGCCATTGTACATTGGTGAAACCATGCAGACTCTATGACAATGGATGAATGGACATTGTGCAACAATCGCCAGACAGGAATGTTCCCTCCCTGGGTGAGGGGATTCTTCAATGTTGAAGGACATTCGGCCTCAGATCTTCGGGTAAATGTCCTCTAAGGCAGACTTCTGGATACACAACAATGCAGAGTCCACAAACAGAGGCTGATAGCCAAGTTTGATACCCATGAGGACAGCCTCAACTGGGATCTTGGGTTCATATCGCACTACAGGTGACCCCACCACACTATACAGTTTCCCACACATACACACATTCTCTCTTCTTCTCACACACGTTCACACTCTCTATCCTTCTCATACATATATACACTAGCTCCCCCTCACACACATTTTTTTTCTCTCCCTGTCTCTCTCTCTCTCTCACACACACACACACACACACACACACACACACTCTTTCCCCCCCCCCATACGCACACTGTCTCTTCCCCCCTCAGTCACTCACACACATAAATTTATGGGGTGAATTTGTATTTGCTGATACATTTTATTTTGTACAAAAAGCAAACAATATATAGATAATCAGTCAATATGTTGTTTTATAAATTCCTACTTTAGAAATAAAGCCAGTCTGACTCCAAACTGAAACAAACAGATTCTAAACAATGTATCACACCTAACATGCATTGTCTGACCTAAAATGTTGCATCTTCTTTACACTGTTAAAACATTTCATTCTCTCAGGACAATGACTTGAAAGGAATCTGGGGATTTATATATACATATTAATAAATTAAAACTTTTTCAAACTGAGTAAAGATTTAACAGATCTTAGGTTTATTTAGTACATCCTCATCAATGGTGTGACCCTTTGATCTTTTCCTTATAAGTTATGTGTCTTATATTACCTCTCTCACTAACAACTGAAGGAGAACTGAGGCTCCAAAAGCTTGTGTTTTCAAATTAATATTCAGACAGAGAGAGGAGCAGCATTTCTGGACAGGAATAAGCAGCTTCAGAAGCTCATTGCCCCTCATTCTGTGCTGAGACAATAGGTGAGTTCTGATTATCTGGAGGACCCGAATATTTCAGGTTTGCAATGGGAAGCCTTTCACATTGTGATTTCTCACAATTGATGAGTGACATAGCCAATAGGAATTGCTGTGCCGGCGTCGATGTGGTCATTGCAGTCCCACCACCACCCCCTCGAGTCAAGGTTTCCGGGGCAACCAGCTGCTGGCTCGGGCCACAGTGACAAACTGCTGCCCCTCCCCCTCTCTCCAGCTCCAACTCCAGCTCAGGTTTGGTGTGGCGGGGGGGACTTTGCAAAATCCCTTTTCTTCATTTCCTACCTCTCTTTGAGAGGGGAGCTCATTGACACTGACACATTACTGAAAGGGATAGACAGGGTGGCTGCAGGGAAGATATTTCTCCTGAGCTAGGAATTCGAGTTTCGGGTGCAGTAGGAGATGGTGAGAACCGAGGTAAGGAGAATAAATAAAACAAAGAACTGAAGATCTGAAACAAAAACAGAAATTGTTGGGGAAGCTCAACAGCGTCTGGAGAGGAAAACACAGAGAGAACATTTCAAGGCCAGTGACCCTCTTCAGAAGGGTCTCAGATACCTCGAGCCTGTTCTGCCACATAATAAGATCATGGCTGACCTGATTTTTTGCCTCAACACCTCATTCCTGCCAATCTCTGATAATTTTTAGAGATAGTAAGAACTGCCAATGCTGTAGTCAGAGATAACACTGTGGAGCTGGAGGAGCACGGCAGGCCAGGTAGCATCAGAGGAGCAGGAAAGTTAACGTTTCGGGTCAGGACCCTTCTTCAGAAATAGGGGGTCTTTCAGACATGCCTACCTTGAAGAAGTTATCCTCCTCACTCCGAAAAGACCTCAGTGGATCTATCTCCCACCGCAACCCTCTGGTAATCTCTCCGGCCCTGAAGCTGCTCGACCATATACTAAAGCAAACCAGGTACTACAGCCACACTGCCTTTCTCAGTACCTGCCTGCAGAACCACATCATCACTGGCACGGTGGCTCAGTGATTAGCACTGCAGCCTCGGGACCCGGGTTCGATTCCACCCTTGGGTGACTGCCTGCGTGGAGTTGGCACATTCTCCCTGTGTCTGCGTGGGTTTCCTCCGGGTGCTCCAGTTTCCTCCCACCATCCAAAGATGTGCAGGCTAGGTGGATTGACCGTAGTGTTCAGGGTGGCGTAGATTATGGGGATGGGTCTGGGTAGGCTGCTCTGAGGGTTGGTGTGGACTTGTTGGGCCGAAGGGCCTGTTTCCACTCTGTAGGGATTCTATGATTCAAATGGACTCCAACCTACATTCAGGCCATCCCAATTTGGCCCTGACCACAACAACTTCTACATGCAAAACATCCAGATGCTCCAAAAATGGTTTTCTCTGATAACTTTTAACTCCCTTTCTATTAAGAATTCTATGTGCTTCTCCATTAATATTTAACTATTATACCTCCATTACTCTCTGGAGGAGAGAGTTCAAATAAAAATTCCTCCTGGTCCACTTCTGAAATGCAGTATCCCTTATTTTAAAATGATATCTCCTCATTTAAGTTTCTCCCACAAAGAGAAATATTTCTCAGCATCCATCCTACCAAGTCTCCTCAGGACTTTATATGTTGCAATACAATCACCTCACATTGTTCTAAATTGCAATGGACGCAGACCCCACTCAACTTCTCCCCATGATACTCCACGCACTAGCTCATTGGAGACAGTCTTTCTCCATGGCAAACATTTTTTAAAGATTCCACCAGCACTAAAATCCTCTGAGATCCCTGTGTTCTTCAAACTCTCACCTCATCCTATCCCAATCTGCATCACTCCACCATTGGAGGCTATGCTTTAGCTACTGAGTCCCAAACTTTGGAACATTATCCTTACACTTCTCACTTCAACAAAATCTACCTCTTCAACTAAGATTTGGATCATCTGTGAAACACCTTATGATATTTATTGCAAAAGGTTCTACATTAACACAAGTTGTGTTCATTGCAGATTTTGAACAGTTGAATCAGGAATGACATACAAATGTTTCAGATCAATGCACCATAATGAACACAGCCATTTTTAGACTAGAAACTCAACCTGGTATTTTGCTTTCAGTAAGAACAGATCAGTTTGACACCACTCTCTTATTTTTTCAGCATGTTTCCAGCATTCACAGTTGTTCTTGTAGACTCCAATTATATAGGAGCTTCTGTTCTATGTCTAGGAGCTCTGAACCACAGAATAGAATGGCTGAGAAACATTTCTCATGCTCCTGAGGGCCCGTCTACCTTTCCAATCCTGGATGTGACTAACAACAGCAAAAATAGTGGAATTCAACTCCTGTAGTCACTGTGAACTTGCCAGTGTCTCAACAGTTAGGATGATAGACTGCATTCTTTCCCACACCTGGAGCAGCCTTGTGAATGGCAATTGTCCAGTGTGAGTGCATTTGTGCAGAGTGCAGTAATGTGATCACTTGAACCCAGTCTCAGAGACAACACCTAATCTATCACTCATCAGTGTGAACCTGTTGGTACATCAGTTCCCGGAACTTTTACAGCACTTCCCATAGTCCAACCATTCAAAAGATTGTTTATCACTCTCTCATATAAGCAGATTGGATTGAAAGTAAACAGCTCCTCCCAAACGTGAAATTGCTTGTGTTTCGTTAAGTTGGAGCAGGTGAATGAATATTTTCTCTCCTGTGTGTGTTCTCATTGTGTCTACGTAAGTTGGAGAACTGACTGAATCTCTTTCCACACTCCATGCACGTGAATGATTTCTCCCCTGTATGAATTCTCTTGTGTCTATGTAAGCTGGATAACTGAGTGAATCTCGTACCACACTCAGGGCAGGTGAACGGTTTCTCTCTGGTGTGAGTTGTCATGTGCGTATGTAAGTTGGATAACTGAGTGAATCCCTTCCCACACAAAGAGCAATTGAATGGTTTCTCTTCAGTATGAATTCTCTTGTGTGTTCGTAAGCTCGCCAACTGAGTGAATCCCTTCCCGCACTCAGAGCAAGAGAACGGTTTCTCTCCACTGTGAGTTATTTGGTGAATATGTAAGCTGGATAACTGAGCGAATCCTTTACCGCATTGAAAGCAGGTGAACGGCCTCTCCCCAGTGTGTGTTCTCTGGTGTGTAAGTAAGTTGGCTGACTGAGTAAATCCTTTCCCACACTCAGAACAAGTGAATGGCTTTTCCTCAATGTGAGTTCTTTGGTGTTTATCCAAATTGGATGACTGAGTGAACCCTTTTCCACACTTGGAGCAGGTGAATGGCCTCTCCCCAGTGTGAGTTCTCTCGTGTTTATTTAAATTGGATAACTGAGTGAATCCTTTCCCACACTGGGTGCAGGTGAATGGCCTCTCCCCGCTGTGACTGCGTCGATGACTTTCCAGCTGAGATGGATAACAAAATCTCTTCCCACAGTTCTCACACTTCCACGGTTTCTCCATCGTGTGGGTGTCCTTGTGCATTTCGAGATTGGATTATCTATCGAAACCTCTACCACATACAATCCCCTGGAATTATTCTCTGCTGTGAACATTGCAATTTTCTTTCAAGCTGTATCACTGCGTAGAGCTTCTTGTACAGTTGATGCTCTGGCAAATAGGTGTGTTCTCATGCATTTCCAGTCACACTGAGGTTTGAAATCATTTCTGGCTCACAGAAAAAAACATTTCCCCTTTCAGTTTTAAAGGTCAATGATATTCAGGTCATGGTATAGATCTTGATAGAATGATTAGTTTGATTTTCCTGCCTGTAGATCTTCTTCTAACTCCCTGCAAATGGAATTTAGAAGTCATTTCTTGAAGTAAAAGTTAGAAACTCCGAACATATCAGTCTTTTCTTTCTTTCCTGTTCCCCAGAAAGTGTCTCACACCCCTCCTCTTTGAGCTGAAATCCAAATTCATCTCTCTCCTCTCCCATTCCCTCCCTCTTTTCCCTCTGCCTGTATCCAGTTATCCAGCTCATGTCGGCAGACTGAGAATAAAACCAATATGTCAATCATGAGTTAACAAGGTGTAAAACTGGATGAACACAGCAGGCCAGGCAGCATCAGAGGAGCAGGAAGGCTGACGTTTCGGGTCTGGACCCTTCTTCAGAAAATTTTCGAAATTGTTTGAAAATTCTGAAAATTTTCTGAAGAAGGGTCCAGACCTGAAACGTCAGCCTTCCTGCTCCTCTGATGCTGCTTGGCCTGCTGTGTTCATCCAGTTCTACACCTTGTTGTCTCAGATTCTCCAGCATCGGCAGTTCCTACTATCTCAATGTGTCAATCATTGTCCCTGCTGGTCACGTGGGCCCAAGCAGCCCGCCCCCCCACCTCACTTGGAACGCCTCGCTTGCGCGCCGCTCGTCGTTGAAGGCCGTTAACCCGGGGTGCGTTCTTGAACAAAAAGGCCTGGCGCCACAAAAGCGGGAACTCCAGGTATTTGTTCAACATTTGCGGTTTACACAAGGCGCCAACAAGCCATCACCCCCCAAACACCAGTTATAATTCGCCGTTTTATTCCCCCCGCCGCCTCTCACCGACTGTCGATCCGCAACTTTCGTCGGCGCCATTACCATCACACAGCTGCGCATGCTCACAACGCACGGCGTCGTTCCTCTTGCGCAGACGTCCGCCGTGTGTAGATAGGAGACATTCACAGCCGCGAAGAATGCTGGGTAAAGGGACTTGGTCATCACTATTTGTTCATTGTGACCACGGCCGCCAACCGATTGAAATCGGGGCGGTTACGTATGGGTATTCAGCGCGCACTCACGTATCCCTAACGCCATTGTCGTTAGAGAAGTTTGAAGTCTCAAACTGGATTGGACCTTACAATGCAATGTTAAAATTGTGCACTCGTAAGTATTGTACGCTGCTAGCGTTCCCAGCAAGTTACAGAACAATGGGAATATCAGTCTACCATTTACGTGCAGCAAACAAAAACAAACAATAATTACCCAGATCCCCGTGTATGTTGAAACAACAATTTCAATAAGATTTTCCATCTTGTTAGATTAGGCTATATCCCACGTGTCAAGAGGTTATAGAAGGAATGTTTACATGGCTCAGAGTTTAAAAACCTTGCCAAAGCCTGGGATGAATGAGAAAAGCTAGTTTTCTTTTGTCTAGCTCCTACCGTGGCAGGGCAGAAAAGTGATTAGACAAATTCCACTCATTTTTCCAAAGTGGAATTCTAGGGATTCCACAATGGAGTTCAAGGAAAAGACCTGCACAGGTTTTGGATATGACAAGATATTTGAGGACTAAGGAGAGAGAAAAGAGAAGTTGGAGAAGGGGGAAGATAGGGGAGGTTTCTTTTGACAGGACAGGTTGATGATGTCTAATTTCAAGGAGAGATGGTGGGTAGCTTATTTATTCAACGGGATGAGGGCCCAGAGTCAACCACATTGCTGTAGGTCTGGAGTCACATGTAGGCCAGACTAGGTAAGGATGGCAATTTCCTTCCTTAAAAAGGACCTTATGAACCAACTGGGCTTTTCCTGACAATGGGTTCATGGTCATCATTAGACTCTTAATTCCAGATATGTATTGAATTCAAATTCCACCATCTGCCACAGAGGGATTTGAACCCAGGTTCCCAGGACCTTATCTGGGTCCCTAGCTTAACAGTCCAGTGATAATACCACTAAGCCATTGCCTCCCCTTAAGAGAAATAACTGCTCAAAAGTTCAATGAATGCTGAGAAAGTTCCATACAACAAAAGGTGAAGGAAATGGAGAAGATGAACTTTGACAGGGATGACAGGAGACAATAAAGACAAATATGGATTCAAGGGTCAGTTAAGAAGGAACCTGAGAGGATTTGGTTCAGTGAGTCAGTGGAAGGGAGGGTAGGTCTGCAGAGGTACTTGCTGGATGGTGGAGACAAGGGAGAAAGGATAACCCTTACGTTCAAGATTAAGATGACAACTTTCTAATCATGAAGGTATTTTATTTGATTTGTATCCAGAAGAATACCACAAATGACTGAGCTGGCATTTGTCAACATAAGCAGAAACAGACTCCAAGGTACATGGTCCAGTCATAGATAGGATTATCAGAAAAATACAATTACTATTGTCACTTTTGACCTCACTGTTTCACGAGGTGTCAGGACTGACAGATTCTCTACCCAAAATTTGAAGCAGATGAACAGTGATTTCCCAGTATCCCCTTACTAGTGCAGCAGCAGAATGAGTATAGTCACTGAGTGAATCCCTTCCTACACAAAAGTATGAGCGTGTTGGTACATACTCAGTTGAGATAATTGCCTGAAGTCTATTGCAGTGAAAACATTTGAATGGTTTCACAACAACATAAAAACACTGATGGTACATCCTGGGAACTTTTGTGGCATTTCCCATAGCAATTGAAGGGTCTCTTGTCAGTGTGAATTTGCCAGTGTCTTATCAGATTGGATGAACTAATGAATCCTTTTCCACACTGAGCAGGGGAATGGTCTCTCCCCAGAGTGAATGCATGCTGCGGCAGCAGGTTAAATGCCCGAGTAAATCCTTTCCCACACAGACCTGGTGAATAGTCTCGCCCTGCTGTAAACTCACTGGATTTTCAGCAGCTTGGATGAGCAAGTGAATTCCTTTCCACACTTGGAGCAAGTGAACGGTCTTTTCTCAGCATGAATTTGCTGGTGTATATTGAGAGCAAGTGATCACTTGAATCCAGTCTCACAGCAAGATCACCTAAACAATCTCTCATCTGTGTGAACTCATGTATCATCAGGTGGGATGATTGATGTGAATCGCTACCCCACAGTCGCAGCACCTAAATGTTTCTCCCAGCTGTGATCCACTGCTGCCTCAGTAGGGCAGATAGTGAAATCATTCACTTCACATTCTGGGCAGTTGAAAGGCCTCTTCCAGTGCGACTTCACCAATGTTGTTCCTGCACAGATGGGTAATTGAATCTCTTCCCAAATTCCCCGTATTTTCAGTTTCTTTCAGTGGTGATTGCATTTATGTTCTGACAGATCAGATGGCTGGCTGAAGCCTAGTCCACACATACAGTATGTGCATGGGTTCTGTGAGCAGTGCTTCTAGCTTCCATTTTCAAAATCCAATAATATTGGAGTTTCCGTAAATGAGGCAACACCATGACATTCTGATGTGATGTTTGGTTTCAGTTTCTGAACTGCCAATCTTCCTCATCCAATAGCCTGCAAAATTGATTTAAAAACAGAAAAACTGGGAGTGAGACAGAACCACAACAACACAAAAGCAGGTTGTGAAATTGAACAAAAACGAATTCACACATTTCTGGGGTCAGCAAGAGGAAAGTCCGATAGTGAAAGCAGCTAGATTGCCCCACAAACCCAACTGCTTCAGTGATGTCATTCTGGGAAAGGAACCTGCAACCCAAACTAGACCAACACAGACTCTGGCCTCTGTAGGAGACAGGTGGCTGAGGAAGATAAAGGAGAGATTTTAAATGTCTATCCCAGAAAATTGATAGACTGTCCCTAACCCTCAAATAGCACTACTTAGCAGGACCACAAACACCATCAGCTCAACTTGTCTTCCAAATCAGATTGTCCTGCCTCGTCTGATATCCAGTACTGATGGACAGAAGTTTCCAACACTTATAAATTGGGAAGACTGAAGTTAATCTCTAATGTCCTCGTCTGATGAACTCCTTGGCAACTGTCTAAACCAGACTTTTCAAAACTCGTGTCATACGAGTTTCAACCATGTATTTGCCCAATATCCAGGACTACCTACTTACAGGTCAGTAACATCACCTGACCCCATCCTAGTTCCAATTGATTTCTAAGTGAAATAGTTCTCCATTCCTTCATTACCCCTAGATTTACCAAAATTCTGAAGGCCATGTATTTACCCTGTATTTTACATAGAACGTTGGTGCTCACTGACCTTAAGGCTCCAGTTTAAGAAGCACTTAAGTTTTAAAATTCTCTTCCTTATTTATTAATTCCTCCATCACCTCTCTAGTCAGCTCTAGCCTCCTAACCCTCGAAAATCTCTGCACTCAATAATTCTTATTTGCTCAGCATTGCTGACTTGAATATAAGCCCTGGAATTCCATCAGTAAACATCTTCCCCTCACTTTTCTACTTCAAGATATTTCTTAAAACATTTATTTGACACAAACTTGTCATTTGTCTAATATTTTCCTGTGTTCTTGGAATCATATGTTATAACATTTGTAAAATAACATGCAATATTTATAGAAGTACAAAGTGTTTATGAACATACGAGTTAGAAGCTAGGGTAGGCCATTCAGACTTTCAAATCTGCTCCGCCGTTCATTAAGATCATGGCTGATCCGATTATTCTAATTTCCCGCAGACCCCAATATCTTTTCATCTTGAATTCTGATGAAGAGTCACTAGTCTTGAAACATTAATTTTTTCTGAGCAGATTTTGCCAGACTGGCTAAGTCGCTCCAGTAATTTTTGTTTTAACCTCCCACTTTCTTGTTCAATCAATCCATCTCTGCCTTAAATGTTCAAAAAAGCTCCAATTGCTTCTTGTTGAGAATTCGAAAGACTGTGGCAAAATGATGCTCCAAATTTCTGCCTTAAATGGGTAACCTCTTATTTTGTCAGATGGAACCCTCACTATAGATTCTCCAAAGAGAAGCATCCTCCCCACATGCACCCTGTGAAGTCCCTTCAATATGTTTCAGTAAATTTGCCTCACTCTTCTAAACCCCAGTAGATACAACTCTAAACTGTCAAATATTCCCTTAAACTACATTCTGTCTATTCTAGGCATTAAATCGAGTAAACCTTTTCTGAACTGCTTCCACTGCATTTATATTCCGAGTGAGGAGACCAGCACAATAAATACTATTCCAGATCTGATCTATGCAATGGCCTGTGTAACTGAAGTATAACTTCCCTACTTTTACATTCAATTCTGCTCAAACATTTTTAGCTTTCCTAATTATTCCTTGTACCTGCTGACTAATCTTGTGATTCGTGGACTAGAACACATTCCTTTTTGCTCAGAACTCTACAATTTTTCACTTTAGTCAATTTACCACATCCTTGTCCACTCATTTAAACTTTGTAGTTGCCGTATATCCCACTTCACAACCTATTTACCTCCCTACTTTGTATCATCAGCAAATTTAACAATCATTCTTTTACACCTTTCATTCAAGTGAATTATATACATTTGATCACTTCGCACATCATTTGCAACATTCATGCCACACAAATCCCACACTAACACCATCACCAATAAGAGTCAATCTAACCACCACCCCTTGACATTCAATGGTGTTACCATCAGAGTCCCCCAATATCAATATCCTGGGGTTAACATTGACCAGAAACTCAAATAGACTTTCCACATAAGCACAGTGGCTACAAGAGCAGCTCGGAATACTGCTGTGAGTAACTCACTTCCTGATTCCCCAAAGCTTGTCCATCTACAAGACACAAGTAAGGAGTGTGATGGAATACTCCCCACTTACCTGGATGAGTGCAGCTTTAACAGCACTCAAAGTTTGACACCATCCAGAACAAAGCAGCCCACTTGATTGGCACGACATCCAAAAGCATCCACTCCCTTCACCACAGACATTCAGTAGCAGTGTGTACTATCTGCAAGATGCACTGCAGCAATTCAAAGATCAGACTGCACTTTCCAAACCCATGACCACTTCCATCTAGAAGGATAAGGCCAACAGACACATGGGAACACCACCACCTGCAAGATTCCCTTCAAGCCACTCATCATCCTGACTCAGGAAAGTATTATTGTTCTTTCAGTGTCACTGGGTCAGAATCCTGGGATTTCCTCCCTAAGGGACATTGGGTCAAACCACAACAGGCAAGTAATGATGGCCAACCAGAGATACCTGCATTCCAAAAGTGAATTTTTTAAAAAAAGTCTTGATTTGAACATAAGAGACCTCCTTTACTCCCTTTGGGTAACTGCCCCATTTCCTTCAAGCTACGTGGCTGCACATATATGGCACCAGTACATCAGTTGCGTCATTCACTTCCAGTTCCAGAAGTCACTACCATTCACATTCTGAGGCTCACACAGTCAGCACGTTAGAGAAACGCTGCCAGTAACTTATTTAGGAGCATTGTAGGAACGCATTCATAACACAGACTGCAGCAGTTAAAGGAGGTCAACCATTAACATTGATTATTTCACTGGCCAAATGATGTAGAGGCCTAGTCAAATGGTCTGAGGACACAGGTTCTACTCTGAACCTGGCAATTGATACAATTTAAATTCAGTTCAATAAATTTGGAGTTAAAAGCTCATCTGAGTAATAGTACCATGAAACTCAGTGATTGTCATAAAAACCCACCTGCTTCACTAATGCCCTTTTAGGGAAGGAAATCTGTCTGGTCTAATGTGACTTCAGACCCACTGTAATGCAGTTGACTCTTAACTGCCATAAGAGGCTGGTTAAGGGCAATCAGGAATTGGCAAGAAATTTTGGTCTTGCCTGCAATGCCACACCCCATGAAAAATTAGAAGTGTCTACTCTGCCGTCAGCTGGGGTTTGGCAATATCTGCTGTTGGTCTCATCAGAGACACCCAAATTCCCAGAATATATTGTATAAGTTTACATACTAAAACAGATCAAATGCATCCACTGAAATACTTTCTTCCTGAATCAAATTAGCGTGCATTTAGCCAACAAAACTCTCCGAGAACCTCCTTCCCTTTGGCAGCTTCATAGTGGAAATTGCAGGGTTCCAATGTCCTCGAGATTTTAACGTGGAGTTTCTCCTTCTGCAGATCCTCCTCCCTGTCCACTGCAGTTGAAACTGACGCAGCAAAGGCTTTCTAAAGGGAATGGGAAGAGTAACTGAAGAAAAAAAGCCTAGGCGAAGGGAGTAAGACTCGGTGTCTTGCCAGCATAAACAGGACGACCCGAACGGCCTCTTTGTATCTTACAATCAGTTAAGTGATTCTGCAACCTCATCAAAAGAACTACTTTGAAGACGAGAGACCAACCTCTACAGCCAGCCACCACCTCGCAGTAAAACGCCTCCTCATTTGTCCATCTGAAAGGCGACGGTGACCGGCGGCCCCGCCCGCCCTCACTCACTCCGATTGGTCGGAGGACCCGTCGCATGCAATTGGTCTTCCAGTAGTACATCTGTTCCTATTTGTGCTACTATGCCGTCAATCAGTCGTGTCTCGTTGTAAGGTCACTGGGGGCGGGGTTCACTGGTGCGGGGCGTGGCTGAGTGGATGACATCATCACTTTGCGAATAGAGCCGGAAGTTGATCCCAGCTGCAGAGGAGCTAGAGAACTGAAGCCAGCTCTCGGAAACAGAGAGTAAACTGGGAGTGGAGGAAACTAATGGTGGAGATGAATTTTTTTTTAGACAAGATTGGAGCGAGAGTATGTGGAACTGGGATTTACAGCTTTGGGAGAACATGAGTGGACATGATCACCGTAGAAACTGTATTTGTCTAATCTGGATTTCCATTCTACACTGGCATTGTAAATTCATTCCACATGGGATTGCAAGGAAGGAGTGCTTCTAACATAGAATCCCTACAGTGTGGAAACAGGCCCTTCAGCCCAACAAGTCCACACTGACCCTTGGAGCATCCCACCCAGACCCATCCCCCTGTAACCCACCGCGAGGCTCAGACGAAACATCGTATCAGCATCTGATTGAATCATTCTGTTCATCGGAGCCTGAATGTTGTCAGCCTTTAAATGTGAAAGGAGAAATATTCTATCTTTGCTAAAATACTTAAAACATCAATGTGACTGGAAAAGCACTGAAACACCCTGAGAGTGTTCCCGTGAAGTGAATGAGTTTGCAACAATTTTGCAGCCTGAAATAAATTGTCCAGTTTTCAGTGAGCAGAGACTGTACAGATGTTTTGCTTGTATGCAGAGACAAGGCTTCAATTAATTATCCAACCTGGCGAGTCACAAGGATACCTACATGATGGAGAACTGTGTGCATGTGGAGAGTGTGGAAAGTGATTCAATTACCCTTTGAATTGATATTCATCAACACAGACACATTGGAGATAAACCATTCATGTGTCCTAAGTGTGGGCAAAATATTTGCTTACTCATCCATCCCCTATATATACCAAATGGTACACACTTGTAAGAGACATTTTGCCATTGTTGAATGTCAGGAATGATCTGATGCTTCATCAAACCTCCTGATCAGGTTCACTTTGATCAGAGACCTTTTAAATGTTTTGATTGTGAGAAGAGCTTTAAAAGCAAACAGGAGCTGCTGAGACATCAACACATTCACACAGGAGTGACACCTCACACTTGCTGCATTTGTGGAAAGGCATTCACTCTGTCATCCCAACTTCTGACACACCAACTTGTTCACACTGATCAGTGACCTTGTCTGTGTTCTGACTGTGGGAAATGTTTCAAAAGTAAAAATGATTTGCAAATCCATCAACGCATTCACACTGGAGAAAGCCAGTCATCTGATCCCTGTGTGAGAGTAAATTCAGGTGTTTATCAGCAGGTTCACACTGATAAAAGACCTTTAAATTGTTCTGTTTGTGAGAAAGGCTTTAAAAGCAAACAAGATCTGTTAACACAGCAGCAAGTTGACACTGGGGAGAGACCAGTCACCTGTTCCATACATGGAAGGAATTCACTCGCTCATCCTACTGTCTGAGACACCAGTGAGCTCACACTGGAAAGAGCCATTCATCTGCTTGTTTGTGGAAAAGGATTCACTGATTCGCCCTGATACACCAGCAAATTCACACTGGAGAGACCGTTCATTTGCTCCATATGTGGGAAGGGATTCGCTCAGCCATCCCAGCTCATTGACCACCAACTGGTTCACAGTGATCAGAGACCTTCCAAATGTGCTGACTGTGAAAAAAAGCCTTAAAAGCAGGAAGTATCTGGTCACACACCAGTGAGTTCACACTGGGTGAAGCCATTCACCTGTTCTAAGAGCAGGAAGGAAGTCAGTCAGTCAGTCATCCCACCTGCTGAGCCATCAGCAGCTTCACATCAGAGAGAGATTGTTCATTTGCTCCAAGTGTGGGAAGAGATTTGCTCAATCGTCCAACTTGCTGAGAAATCAGCACATCCACAAGTGATTGCTGGGTCAGATTCTACAGTTGTGATCATATTCAGCACTGAATCACATCCAGAACCGAGCCAAGGTCATTATGACAGGTGGGTTCTGTCTTTGCTGATGTTAATATTACTTATAACTGGGTTGGATGGACAATAAATGCTGGCCTAGCCAGCAACATCCACACACTGTGAATGAATTTTTAAAGAATAATTAAGTTCGGCATTCTGGTTGGAGCAGACAGTTTCAGTAGAGGAATCAAAAATGTCAGATTGTCATAAAACAGTTGACGCTGGTTTCTGCTTTTCCATTCACTTCCTTATTCTCCCAGGACTCATGAAGTTTACACTCCTCCGAAAGGGCACCCTGGCTTATTCTGTGTTTGAGTTATTTGTTCTCTCACTGCCCAGTCTGTGAATTTTGTAATGTTGTCTTGTATCATGTTATATTCTTCCTCAGTTTAGATACACAAGCTTGTTATCAGCTGCAAATTTCAACACTGAGTTACTTGTTCCCAAATCTTAATACTGGAAAGCACTGAGCAGGTCAGATAGCAACTCTGGACGGAGAGAGAGAGAGAAACAGAGTGAATGTTTCAGGTCAGTGAGCTTTCATCAGATGTGGGGAATGTTAGACATCGAACAAACCTTGAGCAAGGTATGGACAAGACCATGACAAAAGGAAGGTCTGTGATATGGTGGAAGACAGGAGCAATTGAATGACAGAAACATTTCTTTCCTTTCTAAGGAACTAAGAAACAAAAGATGTGCTTGGAGCAGATGTGCTGCCGACTGAAGGAAACAAAACAGGGGACAGTGTTTGATCACCGAAAATGTGGAACTCGATGCTGAGTCCAGGAAGCTATAAAGTGTGGAGGAAGGAAGGTGAGTAAGTCAGAAGTTCGTCATTTGGACCCACTGTTGGTCCTGGTTCAAACAGCAAATTGTAGAGCAGAACACTTGGGCCCAAGGGAGAGGTGATCACTGCCTGCTCGTATATCTTCCCTGATCATATCTGCGCACGGGTAACATTGGAGGTGGAGCTTGCTGGCGAACCTTTTGCTGATTTTGGCTTCTTTTACGTTGATTTGTTCTCATATCTCATACTGGTTCCCAAATTGGCTTTTGTGAATTTCTGTCCTGTGCTGCTCATGATCCTGACACTTTCATCTCCTTTTATAGGGGATTAGATGGAGACTTAAATGAACATCACATCAAATTGTGACAGAGTGACTCTTCCGCAGGGCCTGAAAATCTTTGACTGTCCGTAACTCACTCCTGGGCACCTGTTGTTCTGTATATAAACCATCCTGAACCTCTCAATTAGATTCCAGTCTGTAACTCACTCTCAGGTATTTGCTATACTATATATAAACTATCCCGAACCTTTCAATCAGATTCCAGTCTGTAACTCACTCCCGGGTCTCTGTTGTTCTGTATATAAACCACCCCGAACCCCTCGATTGGATTCCAGTCTGTAACTCACTCTTGGGTAGCTGTTATTTTATATATAGACCAATCGCCCTAAAGGTGTTCTCTGTGCTGGTAAAATTGTTTCTCTTTTCCTCTCCTTCCCACTACCACCTCCACCACACCCCCTGGACCTCATCCACAGTGTGGCCTACCCGATTGAGGCTTTCAGCTCATCCTGCGCCAGCAGAAAAGACAGGTTTCACTTCCTACTCTACATAACGTCGGTGAGCTGATGTTCGTCGACTCTCTGGGAGTCTGGCTGTTCATCATGGAGCCAATAACCTCGGACCTTGACCACAGTGTGCTGAGAATGTAGGCCACGGTCCTGTTGCAGGTTGTGTGGTTGCTAGGCAGTGGGGTAGTCATTTTACTGCATTTCCCATCCACCATGGCCTACATCTGAGAGGCTACAAGCCCCCAGAGGTTAGATACAGAGTAAAGCTCCCTCCACACTGACCCCCCATCAAACACTCCTAGGACAGGGACACCATGGGGTTAGATAGAGAGTAAAGCTTCCTCTACACTGTCCCCCATCAAACACCCCCAGGAAAGGGACAGCATGGGGTTAGATACAGAGTAAAGCTCCCTGTGATCTGCTGCTAGGTGAATCTGCGTTAATAAAAATTGCAGAGATCTGAGAAAGACTCTGCCACTGTGCACCTGAATAATCTACCTGTCTCTCTGTCTCTCACTTCTCCCTTGTTTTTTCTACCCTCCCCTCTCTTTTTCACATTCTATCTCTCTCTTCCTCATTCTATCTCTCTCTTCCTCTCTGTCTGTATCTCTCTCTCTGTCTCTATGTCTCCCTCTCTCTCCCCTGCGTGAGTGTGTCTCTCTCTCTCTCTCTCTCCTACACACACAAAACACAAACTTGCTCTTTCTCTCATTCTGTGTCTGTCTCTCTCTCTCTCTCTCTCACCCCCCCACACCCCCCAATTCAATCTTGCTACAGTTTCTCTGTGTCTATACTGCCTTCAGGCATCTATTTGGGTTTTACTGGTTTGAACTGGGAGTGATTCAGTTCCCACTGACCCAGCCCCAATCCCATCTCCTTGTCTGAGCAGTGAGATGCCACCAAGAGAGAGACAGAGGGAGAGAGGAAGACAGAGAGAGAGAGACACTCCAGGCGAGATTCCACACACAGACTGGCAGAGAGAAACTGAGGGAGACACGGAGAGAGACACAGAGAGAGCGAGAGACCGAGAGGGATAGAGAATGTGACTTTCTCCCAGTCTCTGTCTTCCTCTCCCTCTCGATCTCTCTGTGTCTGTTCGTCTTTCTCTCTGTCTCCCTCCCTCCTTCTCAATCTCTCACTCTCTACAGTCTCTCAGTGTCTGTACCGCCCTCAGGCATCTGTTTGTGTTACACTGGTTTGAACTGGGAGCGATCCAGTTCCCACTGACCCAGCCCCAATCCCAGCACTGTGTCTGAGCCAGCAGCAGATCACAGTGAGACGCCACCGAGAGAGAGACCGTGTGTGAATATGACTTTCTTCCAGTCTTTCTGTCTCCTTCCATCTCTGTCTTTTTCTCTCTTGTCCCCATTTCCCTCTTCCCCTCTATTCTCTCTCTCTTCCCCTCTATTCTCTCTCTCTTCCCCTCTACTCTCTCTCTTCCCCCCTCCTCTGTCTTTCTCTCCCTCTCTCTCTCTCTTTCTCTTCCCACCCTACACTCTCTCTCTCTCTTCCCCCCGACTCTCTCTATCTCTTCCCCCACTCTCTCTCTCTGTCCCCTTACTCTCTCTCTCTGTCTCTCTCTCTTCCCCCCTACTCTCTCTCTGTCTTACCCCCTACTCTCTCTCTGTCTTACCCCCACTCTCTCTCTCTTCCCCCCTACTCTCTCTCTTCCCCCCTA